TTAATACATTTAATAAGGGTAAACTTGGAAAACAAAAACTAGTTTGTGTGATGCATTAATGACATTGTTTTAAGTGTAAGGAAAGTGACACTTGTCATGAGAAGAAGGGAGAAGGTCCAAAAGAGAAGGTTAGAGAGAAGGTTGCTAGCACTCCCCTATAGGGGATATGGAAACATGGATTATCGAAAAAAAAAATATTGGTGTGGAGTTTCAATTTCATCAATTTACAACTGAATGTTTCAAGGTTTAATCAATCTTTTTATTCCATAGTCTAATTTTGTGTTAAATTGATAACATGGGAGAAATTATAGAATGGTACAGTATCACCACGTCAGATAGTGATACTCCCACTCAAAATCTGCCACCTGTCTCTTTTTAAAGAAAACTACAGTATTTTATACAACTGGACTTTCACATCCAATTTTACCCTTCACAATAAAATTAATAAAAGAAAAACCACAAAGAAGAAGATTGCACCACTCCCACCCGACTGAAATTACCAGTCCCGCTCGCCGTCCCCTCTCTCAAAGTTTCTAATCCTCCATCTCTCTCTACTGTACCAGCAACTACTTTATCTTACATTTGTTGTTTATTTCCACATCGAAATTTTGCCCATTTATTCATCTCCCTCAAAATAAAAAGAATAAAAAAAATTAAAAAACTAGAATATTGTACACCAACCACTGCACTCAGCTTTGCCTCCCCTGGCCATCGCCCCCGCTCTCTCAGTTTCTCTCTCTCATCTAGAAGAATGAGATCTGCATATTCCAATTGATCCCAAGTCAACTTTTGGCCAGGTCATATTCAATTGAAAAGTCTAAAGCTTTCTCATATGTTATCGAGAGAGGATGGAGAGATGGAGGGAAGAAGAGAGAGAGAGAGAGAGAGAAAGTGAAAGAGAAGGGTGCGGCAGCAGAGGGAGATAGTTTGGGTAACTCGTTCTTTTTTTTCTTTTTCTTTTTAAATTTTATTTGAAAGGGTAAAAGTATAATTTCATATCCAGCTGTAATTAGTTTTTAACTTTTAAAAATAAAATAGACATGTGGCAGATTTTGAATGGGAGTATCACCAGCTGACGTGGTGATACCGTACTATTCTATAATTTCTCCCTTTCCTCCCCAAGCTCTCTCTTCTTCTCTCATCTCCCCATCTCTGTCTCTTCCCATGTTTCTTTTTTTTTCCATTTTTTTTTGTCTCACCCACTCTCCCCAGCTCTCTCTTCTCTTCCCATGGTTCTTTTTTGTTCTTTTTTTTTTCACCGATTCTACCTCTCTCTCTTCTCACCCACTCTCCTCTCCTCCCCCAGCTCTCTCTTCTCTCTTCTCCCCATCTCTGTCTCTTCCCTTGCAACTCTTTAGAAGAAATTTTCAGCCCCTTTCTCTTCCCATCGCTGCTCCTCCATCATCATCACCCAAACACTATGTATTGATTTCTCTCCTTTTTAATTTTATTGAGTTATTTATTTGGGAGTTTTGGAAATTTTGGGAATGGTGGAAGAAAGAGATGGAGAGAAGAGAGAAGAGAGAACACGGGAGGAGAGAGAGAAAGAGAGTCTGTGAAAAAAAAAAAAAAAAAAGAGACAGATGTCATATTTTTAGAAGGCCACATCTTGTATGGAGGAGGAATGGCTCCTGATATATCAGGAGCCAAGCATTGTCCTTTTTTTTATATAAACAAAATAACTTTTTAAAAAGATTATTAAAACAACGATACCCGCCGAAACCATCCTCCACCTCCTCCCACACCTCCCAGCCACCATTCCCAACGATACCCGATCACTTCTCCGACACATACCAAAATCAAGCTTAACAAAGCTTTTATCTCTGGTTGTTGCGGGTTTCTTTCAAAGGCTAGTTTCTTCTTTTTCTTAGTCTTTCATGCATTATTATTAGGTTTGATTGTCGTTTGCAATGGCAACAAATACAAATTCATCTGGTATGTGGTGAACTGGTGGGTCGATTAATAATTCGATTGTTGTATAATCTATTTCTTCTTGAATGCTAGCTGTTGCATTTTGTCCTTTTAGTCAGCACCAGCGTAACTGTAGCTTTATATCATTTTCGCCTGTAAGATGTTCGATAAAATGTCTAGCTCAGATTGTGCTCTATAGCAATGCCATTTTTGTTGTTTATCAAGCAGAGAATTCGGGAAGCTAATTGCTAAGGTCGTTTCTCTTTACTTAATTTTTTTAAGGCTGAGGAAAGATGGAATTCTGTTCCAATTGTGGCATCATTAGACATAAATCAATATTTCTTAGTTAAAAAAAGAAAGAAATTGTCATTCCCCGGTCACAGAATTACTTACTTTATTAAGTTCATGTATTTGATGGCTTCCTTCCTTCTCATATGACAATGACAATAGTTGTTTTGCGGGAATGTTTTGTTGTTTATTCAAGTGTTGATTTTTCCTTTTGCAGTTGTACTGTTTGGGCACAAAGTCTTGCCCTTTAGGCTACCAAAACACACAATGTAATGAAATGTAAGAATGCTGCTGATCTCATCTATATTTACCAAGAAGGATCATGGTCCGGTTTTTTCTATTTGTTAAAGTTGGTGGGTTTGGTTTCCTCCGTGGGTGTCAGCACGGATTTAATTCCCAGCACAAGCGTGGTCTTGTGCTTCAAAAACTGCTCATGCTTACCCAGGGTTGGACCCTTCCTTTACAAACCCTCGACCAACTGAAATGGGACCTGGGCTTGCCATATGATTACCAGCACTCAGTCATTCCACATCACCCTGACTTATTCTCTTTCATCCGCCTACCCGATGACCGTGTTGGCTTGAAGCTCTTATCCTGGGATGAGGACCTTGCTGTCTCCCAATTGCAAAAGAATTCTGCTAGACAACAGAAGGAAGAAGATGCAAGAAGTGGCTGTTTAGCTTTTCCTGTTGGATTTACGAGGGGTTTTGGATTGAAGAGAAAATGCATGGAGTGGTTGAAGGAGTGGCAGACCCTCCCTTATACTTCGCCGTACTCTGATGCCTCTCATTTAGATCCTCGTACAGATGTATCGGAGAAGAGGATTGTAGGGGTTTTTCATGAGCTTCTTCAACTAACTATACACAAGAAAACTGAGCGTAAGAATGTGAGCAACCTTCGTAAACCTTTGGCCCTACCCCAGAAGTTCACTAAAGTGTTTGAGCGCCATCCAGGTATTTTCTACATTTCAAAAAAGTGTGCCACTCAAACTGTCATTCTAAGGGAAGCCTATGACCATCAACAACTCTTGCAAAAACACCCCACTGTAGATTTGAGGGAAAGATTTGCAAGGCTGTTGAGAAAAGGGCTCCTGGATAGGAGCAAAGGTTTATACAAGAAGAGTAAAGGTGATGGTGTAGAAGTGGATCCATATGTTGATGATATCGGTAATAACCAATCCAGTTCCGAAGAGGAGTCAGTTAACAATTTGTTTTATGAGTACGACTCTGATGAACCAGACAAACCTAGGATTCATTTGTGAAGAGGGTTGGGTCCAGAGAGGACTAATATCTTCTGGACACCATATCTTGGATTAATCTCATGATCATCAGCGAGCTGAGAAGATGGGTAGCAGTGGATTCTATGGTTTAGTTGAATGTACAAAGAACGTAATTGTGCAGTTGATTCTGAAACCGAATTATGATGATCACAATTAGGTTGATGAGTAAGAGGATGAGGATGAGGATGAGGATGGTGGTGTAGTTGGTGGATAATACCGTTGGTGGATAATACCATTGGTGGGATTGAAGATGAGTTTGGTATTACTGGTAGCGGATGTGAGTAAAAGTAAAAGGAAGATCACCGTCAAATCTTCTAGCCTTATCCCTGTTTTCAAGGGCCCAACAAACCAGACCTGAGAGACAAATCCACACTTAATTAGAAACGAAGAAATTTGAATTGAACAAGAAAGTTGTGTGATCGTTCAAAATAGTATTTCTGTGAAGTGGATATTGGCCAAGAAGCAACAACATCACAGTATATTTAAGGTATTTCTTACAACGGCTTAGGGTAGTCAAGAGTTGAATGAATGATTAAGGATTTGTATGAGATGTGTGAAAGTGAGGTTAGACTTATAATATATGGTTGTATTTTCCATTATTATTTCTCTTCTCTTTGCTGCCACACCAAGTTGATTTTTACTTTATTTTTGTAAAAAATATCATGTTTAACATGACCATAGAATCTTGGAGACAGCAGTAACATCCCTCTTGAATTGTATCCTTTCTGCCATTCATCCTTTAACTCTCATATTATGTTTGGCTGCATGCTTTTCCTTTTATCTTCTTTTGCTAACATGGTATATTTTCTGCAGCATTCTTGCTATGCCTTAATAGCTGTATAGTGCAAAATATGTCTGCTTATTCATGCTTCTTTAGTCTAGGCTTATTTGATCTTTTTATGAATGATTCTCTTTATGGTAAAAATATGAGTAATTTAATTACTTTGTACACTAGTTTTGAACTGATATGATTATATTCCGCATCTGTTTTTGCAGTCCAGATATATCTTATTTTGTCTAACCGGTGGTCTTCTGCTGTATTGGTGTAAAGCACCTGCTTCTAATTTTGATTTTCCTGGTCGTTACTTCAAGTGCCACCACCATGTGGATATTGAAATCAAGACATACCAATTCATTAGTGCCTATAGAGCCTCTAAAGAAAGGATTTATGCATGCACTCATTACTGCCATGGCAGAAAATAATGTTGATAACTTAAATGCTGGGGAAATAAGTTATATATACACTGGTGATTTCCACTATTTTTGTTTCCTGATAGCTGTTTATATTCCATTTTTATGCTCCACTGTATTGAAAAAAGCGCAAAGCTATCATTCTTCTTTTCAAGATTGAGAGAAGGAGTTACTGCTAGAGTATAAATAAATGGTTGATTATCATGCTTCTGTTCTTTAAGTTTTTGAAGATATAGATTGATATACTTCATATGTATTCTGCAAATTCGTATCCTATCAAGTGTAGGCTAAAATCTACTACATGCCTTGGAATCAGAAATTGAGTTTAATTCAATGTCATTGTCCTGCGTGGTGCTGTCGTAAACTCTTCAGATAGTTGTTATTCGGACATTCACCGATCAGACAGTTTCTTGTCATTAGACATTTACTGCAGAATGCAAAATTTTGTTCTAGCTTAACGTTAGATTTGGACAAGTGATTAGACAGTTTCTTGTCATTTTCGTTTATTATCAATCACAAGGAGAGTACTCTGCAGAACATGGTAGTTGATAGTTACACTAAACCGTGTGCTCCCTTTAGGACAGATGTATAGTTTCAACCTGGTTTGTCATATACCAGCTTTCAGTCATTCCACAATTTCACTGAAATGGGACCCGTTGTCTTCTTGCTCACCATAATGCGAAGTTCATTGGCAAGGTACGATTTAAATTGAAAATTTCTATTGGTTATAGTTTAAATGGCTCTGCTGATAAGATGTTTGATATAGTGTCTAACTCAGGTTCTGTTCCAGAACAATGTCATTTTCATAATTTTCCAAGTACAACATTGCAGAAAGCTATCTATTAATTATTTTTGTTTGTTAATTTGTTTCAGACCTGAGGAAACCATAGGAATCTGTTTCAGTTGTGGTATAATTACAAACTAGGTGTAGAAGGCCATGTAAGAGGTTTGCAACTGGTAATTCAAGAGCGAAAAGTTCTATTAGAAGTGGATGGGCCTTCTCAGAACTCAAACATTGGATTTTAATTTTAGATAGAAGTTGCTTTCACTGAAGCTTTGATTCTCATTGCTTTGCTAAGATAGTGGCATTCAAGACTGCTGTACGAAAGTCCTATGCAAGAACTGGGTTTTGTTCACTGTTATTCTCCCTTTGTTTATTGCCTGGCTGAACTCCAAATTCTGCTGTAAAATGTTAATAACCTGTTTGATTTTGGATAAGTTATAGATATAGTCAATCTATTTTAATCAATTCTTCATTGTAATTCCAAATATATCGTCACTCATAGCTCTTTGGTAATTTTGCTCATATTGATACGCAATGTAGCATGTTAGATTTTAACTTAAGTTGCATGTATTTTCTCTTACTGATGATGTTAACTATATTTATTATCTTATTTTTATCTTTGAATTCTGGACTCTTCTTACAAGTTAACCTTCACTCTTGTATGATTCTTTGTCATGAACATTACCGGTTTCATCGACTCTCACATTAGGCCCTCGCTGACCCGACTTTATCCTGATGTATATATAGGATTTAAACCATGTTTGATCCAGTCAGTTTTAATGAGCTCATGTTTTAACTTTAGGGTTGTAGTTTAGAAAGATAGTCCTCAATTTGTGTTTTGTGCTTTTCTTCATTTACACCCGTACGCATAGGCAATAAGCTCTTGCCTTCTCTTGAGTGGTTTTTCTGGGTTGTCTAGTGTGTTACTAGCTGATTAATAGCTTTAGTTGATTTTGTTTATATTTTCCTATTTTGTGATTTCCTATCCTGCCAATTTATTGAGGATATAAATAAGCTAATTCAAGGGACACTTTGTGGGCGTATTCCGCATTTTATTTCAAAGAGTCGAATCGTATATTTTTCAAGTCTTCATTCATAAATTATTCTTTAAAAAATTTCGACAAATTGTAAACTATCGAGACGTTTAAGTGTGATGAAAAAACATCAGGCGAACAAGTGTGATGAAAAAACATCAGGCGAACGTGAATGGATGACAAGCAATTCTATAAAAAACTAACTATAAATAACCTACTATACAAAATTAGATGTCTCAGGATTCAATAGTTTGTGAATATCCCACTATACAAATTTTAGATGTCTCAAATGATATTTCAAAAAAATAAAGTCTCCCTAGTAGGTATACTCCAACGTGAATAAATGACAAGAAACTGTATAACTATGAATAACCTACTATACAAAATTGTAGTGTAGTACCGTAGTACAATCATGTGGTATAGTTTGTCTACATGTTATAATATAAGTGGATATTTATAAATACTATTTCCTAAAAGGGGAAGTATCAACAATGCCGTCCACTCATGCTATAACATGAAAAAAAAAATAACACGATATTTTCTAGTTACTTTTCCACTATCACCAAACTTGGAAAATGAATCTTTTACTTTCCATCCCTAAAAAAAAAAGACATGGAAATTGAGTTTCCATCCATTCTTTTATGTGAACTTTAGAGGAAAGTGACATAGGCATGTTTGTAATGCCAAAGACATCAATGTCAGTGTTCAAACCAGAGACTTTCTACATCTACATGATCAAAGAAATCACCCCTACCACTAATAATACGTGGATCGAGCCCCAAACCCTTCTCCATAGTTGAATTCGATATATAGTAAAGTGATCATCATCTGAAACCAAATTCAATACAGATAGACTTTGTTTAGAAGAAAAAAATAAGAGTAGAGTCAATGTGGACATAAAGCATGCACATGAGAGGACCACCAATATTTTTTACCTAATAAACCCAGGACACAAAGAATTAAAAGCCAAATAGTAGGAAAGTACCACAAAGATCCCCTAAATCACTATCATTTGCAATAATTATGAATAGCTTGGAGAGAATGGAAGCCTCTTTTCTTTTTTTGGGTCTTTTTATTTGGTGCCATTCTCATGGAGTAGGTTTAAGTGTTGAACTTGGAAATAAAGAAGCATAGCTCTGTCGTTTGAGTGAGCTTTTGCCTCAGTCCAGTAGTAGATGGTTCAAAGTGGCATATTTTCTCGCAGACATGGACTTAACTAAGTTGGTTTGAGCGGATGTGCTCCCCACTCTGCACCCGGGTTTGAATCCCCCTCTTCATAGTTTAGATTAGATTAAAGTATAATATCGTTTGTATAAAAAATGCTTATGAATAAAGTCAAAATGCAGAATAGTATCATTTACGACTATTATATGTTAAGAACAATTATATGTTTTCTCGTAACCTTCAGCTGTCCAGACTTAAAAGAACCATCCGTTATTACCTTATCCATAGACTACTACCATCTGTTATTACCTTATCCATGGTCTTGTAGATTCTTTAACTTCCCGCTTATTCTAGTTCTTCGCTAGTTTTAGTAAGTAGTAATTAACATGGTTTTTTAGTTTAAATCAATACGATGATAAATTTCTAGTATAGAACCCCAGAAACTGAAGATGGATCATGTAAAAACATTGTTTAGGTAAAGGAGAAGACATCATCAAACCCTAAACCTATTTTCCTTTAAACATCTCTGTCTCATCCTTCTTTCTTTACTTTAGCCAACTGTTAACTCAACTCAAACAACGTTTATTCCTGCTGTAATAAGTCAGTAACTTCCACGTCTTAGAATGAGTTCTGCTAAAATATGAATTTGGGTTTGAATATGTTAGGTTCTTATTTTTATTCTTCTCCATAAGGAGGTATATATAAGAGTTTACATGAGTGCTTTACAAGGAATTAGATCCAGTAAATGATTAGGAAAGTATCTCCTAATTATACGATGATTTGACAACTATATAAAATAGGAAAGTAAATCCCTTAATTAATCAAGGAAATAAATCTATAAAATAGGAAAGTAAATCTCTTAATTAATCAAGGAAATAAATCTTCTTAATTAATTAGGAGACTCACTTCAACACTCCTCCTCAAGTTGGTGCATATACGTCACAAATGCCCAACTTGGTAAGTGAGTCATGAAATACTCTGCCACAAACAGCTTTGGTTAAGATATCTGCTAGTTGATCTTCTGATTTTATGAATGGTAGGCGGATGATCTTCTTCTCAATTTTTTCTTTGATAAAATGTCTATCCACCTCAACATGTTTGGTTCGATCATGTTGAACTGGATTATGGGCAATATCAATGGTTGACTTGTTATCACAATGTAACTCCATTGGCTTTTCAGGTTTGAAGCCCAATTATGTCAAGAGTCTTCTGATTCACAATAATTCACAAACTCTTTGAGTCATTCCTCTATACTCTGCTTCTGCACTAGACCGAGAAACCAAAGTTTATTTTTTACTCCTCCAAGTGACTAGGTTACCTCCCACGAATGTAAAGTAACCAGAAGTAGAACATCTATCTGTAATGGACTCAGCCCAATCAACATATGTATATCCGAAAAACTTCAAGATCTTCATGTTTTGAGAACATTAAAACCTTTCCAAGGGCTGACTTTAAGTATCTTAAGATTCGATCAACAGCATTCATATGAGAAACACTGGGTGAATGCATAAACTGACTAACCACAATCACAGCATATGCACTATTTGGTCTTGTGTGTGCCAGGTATATCAACCTTCCAACAAGGCGTTTGATACTATTTCTTATTGGTTGGTTCTTGGTCCATGTCTTCACACAACTTGTGATTCATCTCAATGGGTGATGTGGTACTGGAGCTGAAGCGGGCAAAATCTCATAAGACGGTTCAATTTCCTCCTCCTGATTTTGACAGCGCGGAGAAAACTGATCGTTTTCCTTTGGTGACCGGTCGGTTTGAAACAGCTTCTCTGACTACTAGTCATTTTCCACTGGCAACTGGTAGTTTTGAAGTAGATTCTCCATGTTCGAAGAACTAAGAGGGGGCCGGTCGCTTTCCACTAGCGACCGACCGTTTGATTTAAGAATTTGATTTGAGGAATTTGATATAGGAATTGGATTTGAGAGGTTTTGGAAATGATATCCATGGCAGCGAAAGGATTTAAGATTAAGAGACAAAAGATGTGTTTAGGATTTCAGGATAAGAGGATACGAGGATTTGGGTATGAAGATCTGAATCTGAACAAGGAATTTGATTTAGGATACGAGGATACGATACGAGGATATGAGGAATACGATACGAGGAAATTCGATACGAGGAATATGATTTGTGTTTCAAGAAAATTCGATACGAGGAATACGATGTGTTTCAAGAAAATTCGATATGAGGATTTAGATATGGAAATATGAGGAATACGAGATGAGGAATTTGATTCAGGGTTTTTGGTTCAAGAAAATTCGATACGAGGATTTAGATTTGAGGGATTTGGATTTGGGAAAAAAATATGAGAAATTTGATATGAGGAGTTTAAAGAACACATAAACCCTGTGAACACGGCTAAGAACATAGAAACCCTGTGAACACGGGTAAGGACACAGAAACCCTGTAAACACAGCTTAAGAACATAGAAACTTCTCTTCAATCCTCTTCTCCCCCTGAAGAGAATGGTATGTCGGAGTCAAGAAAGAGGAAAATCTCCATGAGAAAGACAAACATATCTTTTTTCACTCCCCCTCCCCCCCTTGAAGAGGAGGGGAGGAGAAATTTTGATATGAGAATTTAGAGACAACCGAGGATCGATTGCTCTGATACCATGCTAAAATATGAATATAGGTATATATATATATATATATATATATATATATATATATATATATATATATATATATATATATATATATATATATATATATATATATATATATATATATATATATATATATATATATATATATATATATATATATATATATATATATATATATATATATATATATATATATATATATATATATATATATATATATATATATATATATATATATATATATATATATATATATATATATATATATATATATATATATATATATATATATATATATATATATATATATCAGGATATCCAATGCGAAGCTTTATTTCGTAAATGTCAAGTATTGACTATAATATTCAACTCTTTAATTGTGATGCTCTATTTTGTAAATCTCTTGAGTCTTGACTATCAAATTCAACCCTTTAAGTGTGCCTATAAGTGTAGATCTACAATACAAGCTTAGAAGTTTAGAACTTAAACTAGCATTTTGACCAGGTTTTTAATAAAGCTAAAAAGTTAAAAACCACTTCACTCTCTGACTAGCCATTGTCGAACTCTGATTCTGGAAAAGAGCCCTTTTACTCTATCTCTAATGGAAT